TTGTTGTTGCTGCTGTCTCCAGCATTTATTGACGTTCTCGCCGAGAAATGATTATGCTAACAAACACAATATAACTAATAAAAAAAGGAAAAGTAGGACTTTTCAGGGCAATAAATTACACGCCGATAAACACAAGAGAACGCCAACTTTGTAGGCTGATGGGTCTGGTGACGCCGATTAGATACCAGGGTTTTGAGCTAGTGACTGCCGATGCTTTGGGAGTCCTGTTCAGGTCAGTGGGAGATTTGTGGGCGGTCCTGTGGTTCTTTATGACAAAAGGGTTGATTCCCACCCCCATTGATTTAGAGGTGGTTGTGATCAAAATGCCACCTTGAGAGGCTGAGGCTGTGTTTCCACGAACCAGGGCAGTCTGGTGCTGCCTGTGGGATGCTATGACAGCCAGATGTTTCTTACACCCATGTAAAACCTGAGTAGCTGCTTTTATGCAGGTGTAGCCAAAATCAGAATTTTGCTTCCGCTTGCATGGACGCCCAGTGCTGCCGGTGTGAGGGAGGTCGGAGTCATGCCTGGAATCGGGCTCATTGCTTCCAAAGACACGGAGAAGGGCCAGCTGAAAAGATTGATACATTCATAGATTTTTATTTTTTTTTCAGGCTAGAAGGGACCATTATCATCTTCTAGCCTGACCTTGTGCCATCGTATTTCTCCTAGAAATTTCTGCTTCAAGTCTATCACTCTTAGATGAGCATAAGCACGTCCCTTAAAACGGAAAGGCTTTTATCACACTGCCCTTGTGGGTGAAGCAGTGTTGTTGGAGAAAGCAACTACTGTCTTTCGGCTGCTGAAGTCTTCATCAGGCATGGGTGAAAATGGGGGAGAAAGAGAAAACAGGAGGAAGGAAAACCTGACCTGGCCAGATTTGAAGGGACTGATTCTGCTTTTGGGTATATCCTGCAATCCTTTTTAATGGAAACTGAAGCTTTGCAGGGACAAACGCTGGCTGTGCGAGGCACAGGAACACACTGGGTTTTCCCCAATTCCTCTGTGTTGTTTGTACTATGGTAGCAAGTGAAGATTTAACAGAGATTGGCGCCCCACTGCAATGGGCACAGTATCCATATGGAGCCAGAGACTAGCCCTCCCCTGAAGGCTAAATACAGACAGTCAAAAAGCCTGAGGCTGAATTGTTTCAGTCTTTGCAGCTTAGTCTAAGCAGCGGAGATTGAACTAATAAGCAAGTGAACAGACATTCATTTTTAATTCCAGAAATGCAGCCACATGCCTGCAGCAGTCCATGCCAGGCTACAGCATGCCTCCCTGCTTGGCTGGAGCAGACAGCTTGGGCCAAGGCTAGACTGCCCACCCTGTGAGGGGGAGGGGGTCTGTGGGGGAGGTGCAAAGCATCCTGGGATGTCGGGGATCTGTGAGTTGACTTTGAATCTGGAGGGGATCTGGGACAGAAGTGCAATAAACTGATTTAACCTAAATCAGTTAAGTCTGATACTGCATCAATCCAAGTTTATCTTAAATTGGTTTTGGTTGTTTTGAAGGTGGCTTATGTGCTCTGAACTTCTGTTGTGTTACAGAGTTAAATTGGTTTTTGATCACTCATACCGGTTTATGCATACTTTTTTTCCTTAGCCAAAGGGTTTACAGAGGAAGTATAGAAGAGACCAGGTATAAGGCACAAATGGAGTGAGAGGTGTGGTAGTTTGCCAGGGACCTGTCAGCGCCATGTGTTTGCCATTGTGTTGTGCCTGGTTGTTTTCTTTTTGTAATGTTGGGGTTGTGTTCAAGTGTGAGGGGCTTGGCCATTGGGAAGAGAAAAGGAACAGGCACTGAAAGAGAGAGAGGGAAGTAGGAGGCAAGGATGCAGAAAGAAGAGGTAGATGAGGCAATGAAGACGCTGTGAAGGAACTGGGTAAGGGGGTGGAGATTGAAGGAATATTTAGAGAAAGAACTGAAAAAAACTAGCTTGATGACATCATCAGGGCCCAAGGAAGAGCTGAATATCTGCTCTAAGGGAATTGCCGCCATTTTATTTCTCATTGACCCAAGTCAGAAGAAAAAAGTAAAAAATCCTTGTAAAATAAAAATGGTGAAACAAACAGTTTGGGAAATAAAAGAACAGTGTTATTAAAGTACTTCATTTTGACAAGGCTGAGGATTTTTTTTTAACTTTATCATTTCAATTTTTCCATAATACCATATATAGAAACAAAGCCCTTATCAACACAAAATTCTCTCCTGACTATTCTAGGAACCAGCGAGCGAGGGGAAGCACCAGTTTGCTTATAGAGGGGTAGGAGAGGGCACTTCTCCTGGCGCTGGAAGATCAGAGTGCTCCAGCTCCAAGGGCCTGAAGAAACCTGCTTCGAAAGGATTCCTGCATCTGCTGCGTTGTCAGGTTAGGACCCATTCTCCATCTCGCGCTGAATTTCAGATCCATGCAGTTGCTTGAGGTTTGCCTAACATTGCAGGGAGCAAGGAACTGCATGCTCTTTGCCTACTGATGTCTCAGTTGATGAGAACGAGTCTATCTCAGATGCTAGCAGGGATCTTGCAGTATGGTAGCAAGCGTGGTTAGGCACTGGCTTCTTTCTATTGAGGTAACACTTTTCTCATGACGTGGTCCAACTGTGCAGTCAGGAAATAGGTGAAGAGGTTTGGCTTTTGTTAAAGTTGATCAATGCTGGCTCTTATGGACCAGTAGAGGAGTTGAATTCTGCAGCCAAGAGCCCAAAAGTCTTTGTATCCAGGTTTCAAACATTCAGCGGTAGAGACTTTTAGCAAGAGTGCCCAGCTGACCTTCCCTCACAATGGTGTTATGGCTCAAACTTACCCATCTGCCTCAGACCCGGGCAGGTCCCCATGCACCACTTGTGTTGAAGCAGAACATTTCTAGCAGTTCAGCTCTGGAGGTGATAAGTGAAACCATTTCCTTTGCTTCTCATCCATATGGAGTGAGGTTGCTGCATGGGGGTGGCGGTTACTCAGCACCCACACTGGTGAAGGCATCCTGGGTCTGATTGTTACACTTAGCTGATTGATGTGCATCTGTTTTTAGGTACAGCTAAAGCCAACAAGCTTTTATAACACTCACTGGCAAGCAGCTTCCCATTGCAGATAATTCCCTGCCAGCACATCCTGAACACATAGGTGATTGCTGTTAAATGAATGGCTTGAAGCACAATAAGAGCCTTTTTATTTAGTTCCTGCTTGATAGGCAGAGAATATAGAGTTGCCAAATCCTGGTGCAGACTTTCTTCCTTGCACTATCGTAACAGAAAGCAAATTCCCTCCGGGGGCGGGGGGCACTTGGTCTCTCGCTTTAGCCCAAATGGAGTGCATAAGTGGCACTTCATGGATTCATGGATATTTTGGCTGGCACATAGCAAGGGGTGAATTTTGCTTGAAATGCAGAGTAAACCCCTTAACTTCCATAGTTTTAAGGATGTGACAGAGAAGTATTTGGGCCTAGTCAACAATGGCTATAGGATAAATGGGTGGAAAGCTAGAAAGGACGTAGCGTTAACAGATGCTCCAACACTGAATTCAGATTTTTGTGAAGCCGCGAGAGGAAGCACTTTCTCTTGTGCTCTTCAGTGCCAATCTGACTGGCACAGAACTGGGTAAGGAAACAAATGTGGGGAAGAACTATCATTATTTTTTACCCCAGAATATTTCTGTTTTAAAAAAAAAATTCGAAAGTTTGAAATATTTCTAACTGGCAATTAACTCAAACACTGCTTTGCAGCCAACATCCTCACCCCACGGGGAAAAAAAATTGCCAGCTGCAGGTGAATCTAGGCTCAAACCCTGAACCTTTATAGCAGAATATATATCCTGAAATGTCAAAGCTGATCCCAAACCAGTTGCCTACCCAAATCCGAGACGTGTGCAGGAAGAACAGGGGAACAGCCCCTACCAAAGCCGTAGAATGAGATGGAAAAATGAATGGGACAATTACTGCCAGAACTTTCCAGGGATTTCAGGAGGTGGGAAAAGGCATTAGGACGTTTTGCCTTCTTTCTCAACCTAATTCTCCTTCTAAGCTAGTAGGTCCATCCCTTAGTACCATCTGGGTGGCTTTGTGACACCCCCTAGGCAGATGAGACCGTGGTTCATAACTGGGAGAGGAGGACAGTCTGCAGACCTGACTTACAAGTTTCAACTGGAACCTTTCTCATATGACCTTGAGCATCTATTTAACATTAGCATCATATATGGTCTGTGTGCTTGACACATTTACATTAGCCACAGTAATGTCCTTCCAACGTCATAAGCACAGTATGGGGGGAACAGCACTGAAAAATCTCCATTCACACGTTCCTTTTTAATCAAAAGGATAAAAAGATATTTAAAGGGACTTTGATATGCAACTGAGGGAAATTTCTCTCTACTGCCTGGCTCTAACACGGTCATATTTTCTTTTTGAGCCTACTCAAAGGGGACTGAGGGTAGTTGCACATTAGTGAGATGACTTAGGGAATGCTTTCTATGCACCAGCTCCTTGGGTTAATGAAAGGAGAGGATGGGCCTTTCAGGGTGAGCAACAAGTGCTGTGTGTGTTACAGTGGCAGCTCTGCCTATAGCTCACACCTTACTAGCTGCGACTGGCTTTACTAGCCTCCTGCAATGGGCCAAAATTATCACAAGTGTAACTCCTCTACTTTGCGTGTACAGATCAGCCTTCTTTGTTGGCTGAAAAACAATTACGGCATCTCATTCTGTCTAACAACATAGCTAGCCTTTAGCTACTTCCTAGTAGTGCGCTTAGGATGGATTCAGCAGGGCACCAGCTCCTGATGGTGATTTGGGGGAGGAGGGGCACCAGAATGGTAGCTACTGGGGAACCCAGGTAGCAAGAACAACAATCAGGGTGAAAAGAGCTTGGCCACCTCTGCCGAAATAGCGAGTTATGCCTCTGTCCACTGGAGCACCTCACGCATGGCTTTTAGCCTCATGTTAGCCCTGTGGAGTAGAAATGTAGGGCTCTCACTTTACATGAGTGGGTGAATGTCTTGCCTGAGGTTTCACTGACAATCCATCCCTAAGCTGGGTTTGAACTTAGGGGTTGCCTATACAGGTGCTTGGAGGTAGGGGGGGAGGCGTTTTAATCAGAGAGGTTCCCGGGCAGCCACTCTAATTAAAACACTTCACCGTCATGTGTATTAAGCCCCTGTGTGTTTAAAAATGGCTATGGGATGCTTTATCTAACCCGCCTTTGACAAGGTTTAGATAAAGTGTCCTGCAGCCATTTAAAAATGCACAGGGGCTTAATACACCCGACGCTGCAGCAATGCCAGTGCTTTCTAATTAGAGTCTGGAGCAGACTCGATTAATAGAGTCTGCTCCAATGCATTTTAATTAGAATGCCAATGAGCACGTGTATAGGCAGCCAGGGTGCATTAGGCCCAGCCCACACTTCCAAAGCCCCTAAGAGTTAAATCCTACTTCACTTTTACATGTTTAACTCCTGTATCTGCATCTAAGTGTAGCCACTGCATCCACAAGTGGTATTTTTTGGCTGTCACTCATGCAGATTTGAAATCCTATTTCCACCTGTGCAGCTGCACATACCCTGTTGAGCATGCTTAGATGGCCCCATCATGACTGCATGGGCTTGCTGGTGGAGTAGGCGTGTCTGGCAAAGTGTGTGGTTAAGGAGGAACAATGATTAGCCACTGTGACAGAAGAGGAGGGCAACCCTCCCAACTTTTGGCCCGAGAGCCTTGGTTAGGGCACTTGCTCAGGGTGCCCCACTGGGGTTTGACCTTGCACTCCCAGCAAATGCCTATAGTCACCAGGCCCAGAAAACCCTCCAGCTTTCCACTTGGATCTGGTTTGCACGGCCATCAAGAAGGAAAGAAATGATAGACTAGGAATAGGCCGTAGTACAATGTTGCTCAGGGGGCTGGATGCTGTCCTAGCAGAAAAGAGGTCTGGGCTCTACACATATAGTGAAAAGGCACTGTATATTCTTGCATTTGATAGTCATGGGATAAAATGGATAACTACTGCTAGAACAGCCTTTACCTGAGCTGCAGGGGTAAGGCACAGAATCCAGGGCATTCACGAGTTAGATCAGTGTCTGAACCATACTCTGGTTGCCTTTGTTCCCATCCCTGCCTACCTTCCCCTTATGGCTGCCCAGTGGGACAGTTTTAAGAGGGAGGCCGGAGGCCACCCTGGCCAGTTCCTAGTTGTTGGCACATTGTTAGGAATAAACCATGCAGGTTCAAGCCCCCTCTATGCTGTGACTTGGGTTTCTTGTTCCATTCAAAGGTGGATGGGCCCTTCTGCTCCACCAGGCAGCAGTTGTATTCTTTGCCCACATTTTCAGGGACCAGCACACAATTGCACACCTTGCTGGGTGATCCTACTCCAACACAGAGCACATACAACCAGCGCAAAGCCTTCTAAGCATGCTTGAAAACTCAAAAGCAGCTTTGTGTGGGTGGAAATAGGGTTTAAAACCTGCATCAAATGACATGGAGGTAGAGTTGGAAGCTTAAGTGGGACTTGGGGGAACCAGGAATTGGCTCTTGGGGAATGTCTGCACCTCGTGCATGGGGGGCCCAGCT